TATATATACTTATATATATATATGTATTTATCTCAATACGGATCTGCAGCACTACAACTTAAATCTATCGGCGCCGAGTGGCACTGAGGAACGCGACCCTGAAGTTTGGTCCTACGCCTGGCAGCTGGCCCTGGCCTCAGAGGCGGCTTCGTACCGCGAGCAGCGGCGCTTGTACATCGCGCGGTTGTTGGAGCGGATCGAACCAAGGGAGATTGGCACCTGGGTGGATCTATGGCGATTGAATGATGAAATACCATGGTTTTATAAAGTTGATGTATAAAGTTGGGTATGGATTCCATGGATCAAAGCCATTAATCCCAAATTTGAGAGGGCGTGCAGCAAGGTCCAGGATTTGGACACATACCCATATTCTTGTAGCAGCTACCATATCCAGACTGGCAGGAGTCCACCCACATCATCAACGGGAATTTCAGCAGCCCAAAATGGATGTACTGTAACTATATATACATATTCCATATATTATAAGGCCATACTTTGCAGGGATATTCCCATGATATTCCCTTATAAATTGCTAAGCCCCTATTATGCTTAACTTACCCCCTGTTTGCTGGGCAGGGGGGGGGCCTATGTAGTGGTGCAACTGGTGGTGCGTAGTCTGGACGATCCAAGTTCAAATTAAAAACCGAACATCATCCCCGTCGCAAACATTTTAATACTAATGGTCCCGAGACCCAACATATCCAGAAAAACATTTGTTCCTCTCTGACGCCAATTGATTTCCTGGGTGTTGATTCTAATGAAAAAAGGCCATAATTTTATTGCGTTGTCAAAGCAAACACGTTTTCATTTGTCCAAAGATCGCATTTCCATGCGAAAATCACCATTCAGATTCACGCGGTCCCATTGCACTTTCCCATCTGGTTACAATATAGGTTCCGACGCGGCTCCGAGGCGGCTCCGACGGAACCGCGTCGGAACCGCGTCGGAACCGAGTCGGAACCGAGTCGGAACCGAGTCGGGACCGAGTCGGAACCGAGTCGGAAACGCGTCGGAACCGCGTCGGAACTGCGTCGGAACTGAGTCGGAACCGAGTCGGAACCGAGTCGGAACCGAGGCGGAACCGCGTCGGAACCGCGTCGGAACCGCGTCGGAACCGAGTCGGAACCGAGTCGGAACCGAGTCGGAGCCGAGTTGGAGCCGAGTCGGAACCGAGTCGGAACCGAGTCGGAACCGCGTCGGAACCGAGTCGGAACCGAGTCGGAACTGAGTCGGAACCGCGTCGGGAACGTGTTGGCCCCAGAAGGGGCCTCTATAATGCTTAGTAAACCTATACACTACTTGTGCATGGGGCGGTGTCAAACAGGACGCGGGGCAAGTAATGACCGCAGCAAAGTCGCCCCATTAGTATACTAGCAGATGTTTGGGCGGGCGAAGAAAACGAATCGGGCATTCCATCAGGCTCCCCGTTCCTGAGCCCCGAGAGCACCACCAAATGCCGACATAACACAGGCCACCTATAAGCATACCTAGACCTTCCTGAGGCTATAATACTAGCCCGAAGCTGTTCAGGCAACTAAGTTGCCCGATTCAGATATTCTCGCCTGCTTCATGAATTCTCGCCCGAAGGCGTTTTTTGGGTAACACATCCATAGCTCAAAATTGATGATGTTTGAATACGAAGATGGTTGCAAAGCAACAATGAAAAAGAACGCATGCAGTATCCATCACCAGTCCAATCTATCACTATGAAACAGATCCTTCTAACTCAATCTTTGGGATGTTCGTGGGTTTGATGCATCCACAACTTGGTCTTTTTCTTCTTCGTCTTCGCCGATGCCGTGGCCAAGTCTGAAGAAACCAGGCCAGCTGAGAGTGCAGTGGGCACGGGACTGGGCAATGGCAGCTTCTTTTGAAGTAAGGATGGTTGGTAAAAACTAAGCATAAGATTCAAACCACCAAAAGCCATGTAACGAATTAGGTATTCTACACTATGGCTATTTCTTTTAATTATTGCTGTTGCTTCTATCTGTGATGCTACCTCCTTGCCAGTTTTCTTCCCACGCGTTTTGCAAATCCAATTGGCGTTTTCTTCGTCCAAACCCTTTCAGGGTTTAGTTTCCGCCTCTTGTCCAAAAGCACCCTGACCTTGACAAAGTATCGTTGGATCACCCGTAGGTGTACCAATCTAAAGCCAACCCTTCGGCTTAGCCGACTGACTCTTCCTATGAAATCTTCACTCATTTCGCATCCAAAACATTGTGGGTTCAAAATCAGTGTTGCCCCTTTTTGTAACTCAGACTTCAACTCGTGTCCAATGTGGTGGAGCGAGTGTTGCTTGGGCTTCTGCACAAATGCTCGTACCTGTAGACGTAGTGCGTCCCTTGCAAGCGCTGTGTAACCACGCAGGGTTGTCATGATTTTGTAGTACAGCATGTGGGCACAATGCCGTTCTAGCCATAGCCTGTGACTATGTACCATGCGAATCCCAAGGGCAGCATCGACTACCTGCAACATGCGTTTCAGTAGTTGTTCGTACCCAGCAACATTTGGATAGTTGATGTTCACATGTAGTGTGTGCTGCAACCACTGCAACAACAACACACTGTCGCTACCCTTGGAGTTTGCCCAAGGAGCAGACAAAAGGCTTTTCATGTTGAAATACCTCATACTGAATGAACGGAGACCAGGTGACTTTGACAACGTAGTACACCACAGGGCAAATGATCCATGTGCTCGGTTCATCCGGTCTTCCATGTTGATGGTACTCCCTTCGTAGTCAAAGAATTTCAATCGAAGTAGAAGAATGAGAATTCCGCCTATGATGTCCCTGAAGACACCCAGCTTGCAAACATGGAAAATATCAAGTTGCAAGAGCTTCTCTGGAAATGTGTCATCAAATGGAATTTGTGAAAAAGCTGGTGGATCATCTCCGTTCCAGGGCCGTTCAGTACCAACTGTTTCCAGCCAGCCTGGGGCCTCAGAGAAGTCCTCAAAGAAGCATCCGGGCCCACCTGCTTTGCACAAGTGGCAAATTTCCAAACAGTTTTTGGTCCCGACATGTGCATAGCTTCGGGTGAGTGACATCAATTTCTTTTCAAAGTCAAGGTCGCCTTTGACAGCAACCAATGCAGCAAAAATAGTTCCCTGGTTCGTGTTGATACCTTGATGGAACAGTTTCTGCAAATTCTGACTGATTTCCAGAACCAACTCGTCGATGATATGACTGTGACGTTTGTAGATCCAACCCCCAACACCAAAGAGAAGCCAATGACTCAAGTACGAATGCCCCTTGTAATTGGTGGTTTGGGCACGGGATGCCTGCAAATACTTGGGGTCAACAGCAGCCAAATCAGGTTCAAAAGATGGCAGCCCACTCTGACGATGTGCAAAGTCTTCTCGACAGGTGCACTGGAGGGATGGGTCATTCAAGCTTCCAAAGGGGCTTTGCATGCTAAGAACCCAATAATTTGTTCGCTTCACTGCACGCCCCTCATCGCCATGTATGATGACGGGTGCCACACGGTCCAGTCGTCCGTTATGGTGTTGAAACACGGCATGTCCAGGATGAGATACTTGAAATGTCTTCCAGAAGGACTCAAAGTTTTGGTTGACATCTCCGTGCCATCCCCCCAGTATTGAAGGTTCCTCATTCATCCAAAACTGGAGCCAGGATTCTGGTTTAACATGGTATGTCCTCAATTCTTGAACATCGGCAGTATGACAAACATGGTTCATAGTTTCAATGTCAATCGGAAGTTTGTAGTCCAATCTATCCAGCAATTTGTGCATGTCCCGTGAAGCGTTGGAAGTGTCGCTTCCCACCACCGATGCGCTCAGGGATTTGATCGTTTTTGCAGCACTCACCGCAGTGGCCTCAGTGTTTTATCCCCTTTCATCGAGGTATCTTTCCAACCTCACTGCAATAGGTTGCAATAGACCAGTATCATTTTTTACGATCTATTGTTTGTCATCATAGCTTTATCGTAACTTGTTCAATGGGTTGAGGACCAAACACCATCGCCAAGACTGTCGGCAATGTTGTCCATAAAGTCATCACGCCGTATCGCAGTCCCTGGCATGAACGACATAGCAGTCATACCACTGGACTACATTGAAAACCTCTTGCAGATTGTTTGAGGATACCATAGGATACCATTCCCAGAACTCAAGAGCTAAAACTAAAACGCTCTATTGTACTGTCATACCTGGCTCGAACACACAACATACTTTTTGAATCTTTTTGATCTCCTTTTGTCTCGTCCCAAAGCTTCAGATGCAAATCGCTTGGATTAATCCTGCTATGCGCAGGAGTGGTAAGAAATCAGCCATTTGACTGGGCACCCCAACTTCGGCAAAACGCCGCAGAAGATACACTCATCACAACAGTGGCTCATTGGATGTTTATAAACACCACAAAATCCATAATCATGTGGGTATACCTACATTAATCGGTATGATGGAGCTGCAGCTAATCCGAAGATATATATCCAAAGCAACTGTTGAAAGGATCATTCACTGTTGTTGGCCGTCTTTGCGGCTCTCTTGGGCTGAGCCTTAGGCTTTGCCTTCGCTTTGCTGGCAGCCTTTGCCTGCCGTCGTTGGCGCGGTGGCTTCGCTTCTTGGCTCTTAGCTGGCTCAGGAAGCCTCGACCTAGTGTGCGGAAAAGGGGCATGTAATCACATTGGAAAGGAAGATTTGGCAGTGACTTTCAAGATTGACTGGAAACTCAGTTCCCAACTTGGCAAAATGCTGCAGGGCCATGGATTCCGCAAGCCTCAAAATTTGAAAGATGGCAATCCAGATAGAATGCCCCAAAACTGAATGACACATGCTGGGTCATGCTGGTAAAAGCCCAAGCCTTTTTCGTGCCATGTCCAGCTCGTTCAAGATTTTTTTTTGCAGCCTTAAGCGTCAAGTCAAAACTCAAAACATTGGTATGGTCGTATGAAAATTGATGTTGTGTACACCCCTTCTTAGCAACACTCTGTAGGAGTGAGCCACTGCAATTGTAGTAGACTCCAAAACTTACACACCTCACTGGATTGTTTTCAATTGGCTATGGTCACTGTATCAAATCGAAGAACATGATAGACCGTACGCAATTACAATTGCTTTTCGGGTCGTTCAACTTTTCATCCATGACTTTTCACCCAGTCTCTAAGGAGAAGAATTTTGCTTGCCAACATCCTGTGGATTTACTATGATTTACGAGGCCGGTACCTTTTGCCGACACACGCATGGCCCAAAAATGGGA